TTCCAACCACATGGGGATTTCTATAGGCCATTGCTCCCCTTGCCTCTCTGAGGGGGCCCGGTTCTGGTCGTGGTCCCCGGTAGGCCCACAAACAGGGTCCTGGCTGCTCGGTACCTTGTGAATGTCCCTGGGCCCCGTCAGGCATGTGTTGCTTTGGGTTGGTTGTTGCAGTCATTTGTCTCGACTTCGAGTTGAGGAGTGAGCGACGACTGCCTCCCAGGTAAGTCCCTCTTTATCCGTCTCTGGGTAGTTAGCTCCGGGGAGCCGACGGGACTCCCCCAGAAACCAGCGGTGAATGTAATGAAATGCCGTTGTCTGGTTGAGTCCTGGAGGCTCTCTGGCATCCCTCCCTCCCTCCGGTCAGCGTTTTTTTCGTGTTTTTCACATCCAGCCTCAGAACTGAGGTGTGGGTAGCTGGCGTGAAGGGTCTGGGGCTCCCTCTTCCCCCTCCTGGGGAGGGGGGAGCTGCGCAGACAGCGGCACGGCGACGTGTGACATCATACTAGTTTGCTCGTTTTTCTGTTGGGGAGTTCTATCCACTAGTTCGGCTTTTGGTAGCAATTTTAACCAGAATAGGGGTTTGTTTTGGGGCGCTTACCTTTCTGGGTGCCTGATCCGGTCGATGGCAGACATAGAATGCTTCCAACCACATGGGGGTTTCTATAGGCCATTGCTCCCCCTTGCCTTTCTGAGGGGGCCCGATTCGGGCCGTGGTCCATGGTAGGCCCACAAAACTCCATACACATGACTGATACCAAAGTCTGACATTAGCATATCTGCCTGGGATAGCTTCGGGGAGCCTCCGGGACTCACCCAGAAAATGGCGTTTCATTACATTTAACACTGGTTTTTTCTGGTTGCCCTCAATGGTCTTCTCTCCTCCCTTCCTTCTGGCATCTTTTCCGCTCTTTATGTCGACGATCTTACTCTTTGCTGTCAAGGTGATGATTCGCCTCTCCTTGAACAGCGGCTTAACTTGCGATTGATACCATGTCGCCTTGGACCACCAATCATGGCTTCAAGTTCTCTGCAACTAAGACTTGTGGTATGACTTTTACTAGAAAGCATGTTGTTCTTCGTCGTTCTTTGTCACTTTATGGTCATCCCCTTGTGTACAAAGATTCCGCGAAGCTTTTGGGGTTAATCTTTGACGCTTGTTTGCCTTGTTTGCCCCATATCTCTTACCTCCTAGTTGAATGCTCTAAGGCCCTTAACCTACTTAAGGTTTTTTCCCATACTTTTTGGGGAGCGTATAGGCGCACGCTTCTCTATTTGCACTCCTCTCTCATCCTGTCTAAACTTGATTATGGTTGCCCTGCATACTCTCTGCTTCTCCTCCTACTCTTCGCCATCTTGATCCTTTGCACCATACTGGGTTGCGCCTCGGCTCTGGTGCCTTTCGTTCAACTCCTACCTTTCCAGGACCGCCGTAATCACTAGTGTCTTCTCTATCTTGCACGATCCTTACAGCATCCTCACTCTCGCTTCTGTCGTGCTTTGACTTTTACTCCTGTAGTTCCTGCTCCTCTTCACCACCTTCCTCTTTCTGTCCGTTTGTCTCGCTTACAAGATTCTCTTTCGGTTCGTATTACCAATGTTTCTCCTCGTATTGTTCTGTCCTTGCCCAGTGGAGGGTCCCCCTTCCCAAATTTTGTACTTCTCTGACCCGCATCACTAACGTTTTTACCCCTCCTACAGTTCTGAAAGGCTTTATTCTTGAGCACGTTTCTTCACACTCCCACTCCGTTTCCATCTTCAACGATGGGTCTAAGTCTGCTAACGGTGTGAGCTACTCTGTTGTTTTTCCTGACAACACTTATATGTGTCGCCTTCCTCTGGAGTCTCGCATCTTCTCAGCAGAACTTTATACTATTCTCTTTGCTCTTCGTCTCCTACTTTCTTGTTGTCAATCCTCCTTTGTGGTGGTAGTTGACTCTCATAGTGCCCTCATGGCTTTGGGATCCTTTAATCTGGTCCACCCGGTGGTCATCGAGATTCAACATTGGCTGTTTCTTATCTCCAGTAAATTTAAGTCGGTTGAGTTTTGCTGGCTTCCCAACCATGTTGGTGTCTCTTTAAATAAGCATGCGGATGCTGTCGCTAAGGAAGCTATCCGCACTTGTCCCATCTCCCGTAAAGGTATTCCTTATTCCGACTTTTACCCAGTTATTCATTCCTCCATCCTTGCCCGTTGGCAGGCTTGTTGGTCTTCTGTTACTGGTAACAAACTGCATACTCTTCAGAGTCATGTGTCTCTTTGGCCTTCCTCCTACCACCGTAACCAGTGATGGGAAATGACTCTAGCTAGGTTACATATTGGCCATACACGTTTAACTCACGGTCACTTAATGGAGCGTTGCCCTGCTCCTTATTGTCAAAATTGCATTGTTCCTCTTACAGTCGTGCACATTCTTGTTGAATGTCCTGACTTCCAGGACGAGCGTGTTTTGCTTTCCGACCGTCCCTCACGCTCAATTGTCTCTCGATAGAATTCTTGGTGAATGGGATACTTTTGATATCGTTCGCCTGATGCGTTTCTGTTTTCGTATTGGCATCCTTGGTGATATTTAGTGCCCTCTGATTACTCCGCACATTTGGTGGTGCTACATAGCCTTCCCAGTTTGGTGCCTTCTTTGGATAATTACTTACTTTCCTGGTGGTGGCATACATGAATAAATTAATTAAAATTGTACCATATGTGTCACCATTCCCTGTGCCTTTGTGAGGGGGGGAGGGGGGGGAAAGGTTCTGGCTTGTAGTCCTTGGTAGGCCAATAAAACTCTGTGACTAATGGGAACTAGTAGTATGACTCCCTGTCAGAAATAATAGCTTCAGGGAGCCACCAGTGAATACTTTGAAATTGACATTTCATTAAATTCAGTGCTGAGTGTTTTTGAAGGGTGAAGGGTTTGACTTGGAAGATTGACAGCCAAGGGCTTTATTTAGGTACAAACATAGATGTTCTGGCTGCTAGTATTTTATTGTGCTATAGTGCTATATAAAATAGTGCTTTTTTAAGTTCCAGAAAGACATAATTTGCATATGTATGATCAGAAAAATATACAAATAGACACAAGCATGTGCATGTATTATTCTTGCAAGTGTGAATGTGTACATCTGCATGTGCTAAACCAAATACTATGTATGCCTCTTAGGTAGTCATGATTATACAGTATTTCTGTACAGAAAACTTCAGGCAAGAAATTGTATTACATCAGGGCATGCTATATACAGTGGTACCTCTGTTTTTGAAGTGGTGTTGGTGTATAGGGAGGTTGAGGAGGAGGGAGGAGGTGGTGAGTGTTTATGTTTAGAAGGGCCATCCCCTGCTCACCTTAAACACTTTCATATCTGCATCACTGATTCCAGATTTTCCTTTCACACATTTCACTGCCTCTGTTATGTGGCAGCCAGTCATTAAGTCACAACATGTCAGTCAAGAATTCACAGTCAAGACCAGTCACAAGCAGTCATAACCCAAAGGCAGTCAAGCATTCACAATCGTCGTAGCAACCGGTTAATCATTTACGGTCAGTCACTCATTTACAGTCAATAAGCCATTCACAGTCAATCAGGCTTTCACAGTTGCAACCAGTCAGTCAGTAAACAATAAGAGTTTAATGTCAGGCACTCAGGAAATCTGCCTCCGGATCCATCAGTGTAGCACGGTGTTCAGGATGGGGATCTTGGGGAGGGACCGGGGAGTGACCAACTCCTGTGTTATTCCTAGTCGAAAGCTCGCCCACTCATGCCACCGCCTGCATGCCCACTGCTACCCACCCACCCAGTCTGACCACCCTGTCTTTCCACCCGTCCTGCTACTCATCTGCCCATCCACTGTCTCCTGAGTGCCCTGCAACCCATCTGCTCTTTGCCTGCTCTGCCACCTTAGTCTAACATCTGCCACCCGCTTCTTCTGCTGCCTGCACGCCCGCTATGCCCACTCTGCCAACCATATCACTACTGCCCACTTGCTCACATAGACACCTGCTCGACCACTGCTGCCCACTTGCTCACATTGACACCTGCTCGACCACTGCTGCCCGCCTATCCACCCACTTTGCCGCCCGTCCTGCTACTCATCCATCCACTCACTCTTATCACCTGCCCACCCACTCACCCTCCACATGTTCTTCCCTTAGATGATTCTAGGGCTGGTGTTTCTAAAAGATTTTCTTTCCCATCCCCCTTCCCCACCAGCCTTCCTGTCCCACTCACCTGCCATCCTTCCAGTCCCCCCCCCCCCCCCCACCACCACCATCCCATTCATCCATCCATTCTTTTCCTCTCAACCAACCATCCATCCATCCAATTCCCCCCCACAATCCATCCAGTTTCCCCACCATCCATCCATCCATCCATCCATTCATCCATTCATCCAGTTCCCCCACCATCCATCCAGTTCCCCCACCATCCATCCATCCAGTTCCCCCACCATCCAGCCATCCAGTTCCCCCACCATCCATCCATCCATCCATTCATCCATCCATCCATCCATCCACCCAGTTCCCCACCATCCATCCATCTACTTCCTCCACCATTCATCCATCCATCCAGTTCCCCATAATTCATCCATCCATCCAGTTCCCCCACCATCCAACCATCCAGTTCCTCCACCATTCATCCATCCATCCAGTTCCCCATAATTCATCCATCCATCCAGTTCCCCCACCATCCATCCATCCAGTCCCCTCACCATCTATCTATCCTGTTGTCCTCCCAAATACAATATTCAAGCGCGATCATCACTAGGTGGGAGCCACTGATAAACTTAAGTGCGCCACGCACTAGGCTGGCCCATATGTGTATCAACAAACTCCAGCACCGATGCAAACCTTGAGTACCGAGTCAAATTTTTTGAAGAAATTGAGCTCAAGAACCGAGAAATTCAAAAGCAGGGGCATTCGAAAACTGAGGTTCCACTTTACTGTATATTAAAAAAGGAGAAAATTATATATGTTACATTCTGTAATTCAGTTAAATCCAAAATACTTTTACAGTGGCCTTTGCATCATCACAAGGACAAGGAGACAAATCTGTTGTACCTACACAAGCAATGAAAGAATTGGCAGTGGTAAGAACCAGATCTGCTCCAGTTGATGCAAGAGGCCAGGAAATGGAAGAGGAAGCCGTACTGAGCCAGTCACTCACTGTTCAGTCCTCCGATGAGAGTGAAGGGGAAGATTTCTCTGAAAGGAAAACTTCAGGAGAAAATGATTCTGAGGTAAAAATAATATGTAGACTGTAGTGTGAATTTAATTTAATCGTTTATCTTTATTCATTAATAACTATTTTTTGTCAGGGACAGGAAGTTGTGTATGTATGTGCCTTATTTATATATATGGTTCCCCAAAGTGGAACTACTGATCCTCACCAGGATGCAACCTCACAACAGTTGCCTAACTCACAGGTCTCTGTTTAGTGCTAGGTGAAAAAATGTGCCCAACCATTTCAGTTCCACACCAGAATCAAAACTGGGATTGCTAGGTGAAAAAATGTGCCCAACCATTTCAGTTCCACACCAGAATCAAAACTGGGATCCTCAATTGTGAACCAAGAGTGAAACCAACTGTACCACATGATCCTTATAATTGTTTTTGATAGGAATGCTAAATAATTACATTTACATAAATCACATAATTAATATTGGATAAATATTGGCAAAAATATTTACCTTAGCCCTTAACATGCTCGGGGTTTAATATCCTGCCATCCCCACAGGCGCATGTCATTTTGAAAAAAAAAAAAAAATTTTTTTCTTCCTAACCTATTAATTTGTGTTCACTGATCACGGGAAAAATAATAAAAAAATAGTAAGTGGCATATATTGCCCGCTATAGAGCGGGGAAGTCTGGCAAATTATAGGCGCTGACTCAGCATGCGTCCCAGGCGGTCTGTTGCTCGCCAGCTGTCAGGCCGGAGTTGCCACAAAGAGATAATTACCTAATTATTTCAATGTCTCTGATTGATTTTTCATAGTTTTTTTGCTGTAATATTATTCAATAGTGTGTAGTTTGATATATTTATATAATAAAATGAGTGAATCATTGCTGTACTCAAAAATATGGTGTGCATATTGTTGATTCAATTATGTTCATCAATCAGTGAACAAATACTTTGTTGGTTATTACACTATAAGCACAGGTTATATATAAGTATCTGCATGTTTTGTTCACTATAACGAACCACTAAGTAGCTATTATGAGTCAAAAAGTAATGAGGAGTGACCGCCGTGTACCAGCCAGCCACTCCCGCCCTCCCGCCAGTCATCTGACTCACCCACATTCTCCTCCCACAATACTGTTTTTTCTATAATTCACTATATTCAGACGTTATATATAAGTATCTACATGTTTTGTTCACCATAACTGTACATCTAAGCTTGTATGGTGAGTAAAGGCACAAAGACATAGGACCTCACACAGTCAGCTGATGGCTGCCGCCCTCAAGGCCAGATGCACTAATATTTCTCCTCCAACAATACTGTGTGGTGTTATTACGCTATATATCTTATATACAGACTTATATATAAGTATTTACATGTTTTGTTCACCATAACTGTACATCTAAGCTTGTATGGTGAGTAAAGGCACAAAGACATAGGACCTCACACAGTCAGCTGATGGCTGCCGCCCTCAAGGCCAGACGCAATAATATTTCTCCTCCAACAATACTGTGTGCTGTTATTATGCTATATACACACATTATATATAAATATCTACCTGTTTTATTCACCATACTTGTACAAATAAACTGGTATGGTGCCCAAAGACCATCGTGGTAACCAGTAAACAACACCGTCGTCTGCACGGTGGCGTCGTCTGCACGACACCACCGCCCTCACCTAAATGGCGGCTCCAAACCTTCTCTTGCTGTTTATACCCTCTATACCCACGTTATATATAAGTATCTACATTTGTGTTTACCATAGCGAACCACTAAGCTGGTATGCTGAGTGCAGTCAATAAAAGGTGGCCACACAGTCAGAAGATATCGCCACCGTCCTCCCTCCCACAGCATTACTCCTCCCTCCCACAGCATTACTCCTCCCTCCGTGGCGCACAGCACTAAATATCACCACAATCCTGCTATTATCAGAACCCTGGTCAGTTTTATCACAGTCAGGGGTCTTCTGTAATAATATCATCGCTACATAATAGCATGAACAAGTATATTTTGGCATTTTTAGGCGATGCTGTGGTCACAAGCTGAACAGCAGTACTGTTAGCTCATGCTGCGTGCGTCAGGCTTGGTTGCTCACTCAATACTGAGGCCAATAACACCCGGGAGTTTGGCCCACGATTTTTTTTTTAAATGGCGTCTGTTTACAAGAGCCCTGATGAAGGTGTGGTGAACCCTGTGTATCCGCGGGCCGTTTAAATCTTGCGTAGTACTCCAACACATCATATGACGTGATGCGCAGTTGACTGGAACAACGTCCAACACGTCATATGACGTGATGCGCACTTTAAGGGTTAAGTTATTTTCTGTTAAGTATACAGTAAATTTGGTTGCCCATTGTTGTGCACAGGAAGTCTGTAAGTCTTTTTCTTCTTCTTCTTCTTCTTCTTCTTCTTCTTCTTCTTCGCAATACGTGCAGTTTACATGAATGTGGATCCTCCCGATGACTGCATGAGTGATAATGTAGAAAGATGCTTATGCTACAATGCCCAGCGGCACATCAACGGTCACGATTTGACAGAGGCGGGAAGAAAACGATGTTGTCCATGTGGGTAAGGATAAAGGCAAAAGAAACAAACAAGAGGAAAGGGACGCAGGTATGGAATAGGGAGAACAGAAGGCGAACGTAAAGCGTCGCCGCATTAAAGAAACCAAGGGATGTAGGCAAGAGATAGAGGGCGGGAGGCGAAGGATGTGTAAGTGGCAGATGCAAAGCAGACATGAGAGAGTAAGGGGGGGTGCGAGCAGAGGATGGTACAAGGGGTGAACGTGTAGAAGGTCAGAGAAAGTCACGACGGGACAGGTGAGGTGAGGACAGGGTAAGGTACGTAGACAGAATCCGGAGCCTTACGGTTGGGACGCAAACACATCAGTCTTCTTAGAAGCGCCAGCAGGACAACAGGAGGAAGATTTAGGAGAGGCGCGAGGACAAATCGTTGGAGAATGTGGTTTATGGGGCCCATCAGGCCCATCAGGCAAGGTGGCAGGATGCTTGGAAGTCGGGACGACGGAGGATTGCTTTGTCTTATTGTCCGGGGTAGAGATTTGTGGGAAGGCAGCTTGTGGAGAGACTCAGGGAAGGCGTGCCAATGAGTTCTGAAGGGCGTTGTCCAGCATCATTTCAAATACATTGGAGATAGCAGAGGCAGCTGTGGTAGGTTGGACGTCAACAATAGGAGAAGCGGTGGAGGGATGCGTCGCGTCAGCCTCAGGAACGGGGAGGATGGACTGTGGAAAGAATTTAGTTTGGAGTCGGACCAGCGCCTTCTCTTGGGCATCCACGACGCAAGTGACAACAATGTCAACAAGATCGGGACTCAGTTGTACGGTGTGTGGGAGAAAAGAGGTCTCGGGTGAGAGGAACGTCATTGTCAGACAGGTCAGGCACAGGCAAAGGCAGCGGCAGAGTGGGAAGCAGGGGGTGATGAGGAACCGGGTCAGGACAAAGCAAAGCACAACTGGAAGGCAGGGTGACGGCAGGGAGAGTCTTAGTGAGCGCCGCTACGTAGGAAGGACATTACTTGAATGTGATGGCATGATCACCACCACAGTTGGGGCAGCAGAGCATATCAGACTCAGAGTCATGAGAATAATGGGAACCAGAGCAATTGCCACATTTGACTTCATAGGTGCAGCCTTACGACAAAGTTGAAAACCTTTACAATGAAAGCATTCAGTGGGACGGGGGACGTACACCTCCAATTTATGGAGGAAGCCATTAATCCAAACCCGATCAGGGGAAAAGGAAAGTAAGGAGGGCAGTGCCGGTATCACACAGTTCACCATTAGTCCTACGCAGAAACTTCCGGACACCGAAGATCGGAATGTCAGCATCCTGCAGTTGCACCTTGATGTCGATCGCACTAATGTCAACCACATGCCGGACCACATTTCGTACTAAACGGTCACCCAGAGGTTTATAACAACGGACTTTGTAACCACAAATGTCAGTAATGTCCGAAAGCTCCAGGTCCTCTGAATGAATGTGGTCCACCGCACTCAAGTTCCTGGGTTTATTTCGTCTGATATCGTGCACTTTGATCTTAAAGAACTTGGGAATGGCATGAACACCCTCACTGTTGCTCTCCCCCCCACCCCTCACTGTTGCTCTCCCCCCCCCCACACCCTCACTGTTGCTCTCCCCCCCCCACACCCTCACTGTTGCTCTCCCCCCCCACACCCTCACTGTTGCTCTCCCCCCCACACCCTCACTGTTGCTCTCCCCCCCCCACACCCTCACTGTTGCTCTCCCCCACACCCTCACACTGTTGCTCTCCCCCCCCCACACCCTCACTGTTGCTCTCCCCCCCCACACCCTCACTGTTGCTCTCTCCCCCCCCACACCCTCACTGTTGCTCTCCCCCCCCCCACACCCTCACTGTTGCTCTCCCCCCCCCACACCCTCACCCTCCCCCCACACCCTCACTGTTGCTCTCCCCCCCCCCACACCCTCACTGTTGCTCTCCCCCCCCACACCCTCACTGTTGCTCTGCCCCCCCCACACCCTCACTGTTGCTCCCCCCCACACCCTCACCCCCCCACACCCTCACTGTTGCTCTCCCCCCCACACCCTCACTGTTGCTCTCCCCCCCCCCACACCCTCACTGTTGCTCTCCCCCCCCCACACCCTCACTGTTGCTCTCCCCCCCCCCCACACCCTCACTGTTGCTCTCCCCCCCCCTCACCCTCACTGTTGCTCTCCCCCCCACACCCTCACTGTTGCTCTCCCCCCCCCACACCCTCACTGTTGCTCTCCCCCCCCCACACCCTCACTGTTGCTCTCCCCCCCCCCCCCCTCACCCTCACTGTTGCTCTCCCCCCCCACACACCCTCACTGTTGCTCTCCCCCCCACACCCTCACTGTTGCTCTCCCCCCCCACACCCTCACTGTTGCTCTCCCCCCCCACACCCTCACTGTTGCTCTCCCCCCCCCACACCCTCACTGTTGCTCCCCCCCCCACACCCTCACTGTTGCTCTCCCCCCCCACACCCTCACTGTTGCTCTCCCCCCCCCCCCCACACCCTCACTGTTGCTCTCCCCCC